AATAATTAAGATGCCTCGAATTTGGATAGACTTTTTGCTTTTCTTGGTGTCTCAGGGCTTAATAACTCGGACTAGAAGAACATTCGATAGAGCTTTGAAAGCACTGCCTATAACTCAGCATGACAGGATATGGAGGGTCTATCTGAAATTTGCTGACAGACATGGCCGTGGAGTTAACGAGACGTGTTTAAGGGTTTATCGACGCTATGTCAAGGTAATAATGTCATTGCTTATTTTAATTTAGTTTTGCCCCGAGGATATGGAGCGATTTATTAAATTCTTGATTAAATATGGAAATTACAATGAAGCAGTTTCTGTCCTTGCGGATATCATAAACGATGACAATTTTCAAAGCCGCAATGGCAAATCAAAGTTTCAGCTTTGGAATCAATTATGTAGCCTTCTTGTAAAACACCCGGACAAAATCACTTCACTTAATGCCGACCCTATTATTAGACAAGGAATTTGTCGATACACTGATCAGGTTGGTTGATATTTCTTTATTAATGAACATTTCTTGGATATACGATTGACATTGACGTTAGTTATTTGAGAATGACCTGTAACTTTCGATTTTCCCCTATCTTAATGCTTCTAAAGTCTTTACCTAATGTACTGAGTAATTATCAACATGGACTCCTCGGCTTAACCTGTCTCTAGTATGCCGATATCTCAAGCAAACTTATAATCAGTGTAATTTTGTTCTTTTTAATGGGGTATTGGATCCCAACTTTGCAGTCCTATATTTACCTTTAATTTTACACTCAGTATTTTCTTAGACTCTGACTTTTGATTATCTTATTTAAAGGTAGGAGTTCTTTGGAATTCATTGGCGGATTACTATATTCGAAGTGGTAACCTTGCTCGTGCTAGAGATGTTTATGCTGAGGCGGTAACCGCTGTATTGACAATCCGCGACTTCACCCAAGTTTTTGATGCATATGCTGAATTTGAGGAATCCATTACCAAGGCTCGAATGGAGTTTGTAGACAAGGCAGAAATTGTCCTTCATGAAGGTTTGGCCTATTCATGTTTATTTTTTCGTCTTAGATGAACTTGAGGTTGAGCTATGTCTCGAAAGACTTGAGTCACTAATGAATAAGCGCCCACTCTTGCTTAATAGCGTTTTGTTGCGACAAAATCCTCACAATGTATCAGATTGGCTCAAACGCGTCGAGCTCCTTGAAAATGAAGGTCCTCATGAACAAATATCTGCCTTCATGGAAGCAATAAGCTCTGTTGATCCAGGTGAGTATCAATGATGCTTGATTTCTGATTGATGGACGATAGCATAGTAGTAACAGACAATTGTGGGGTCGGATTAGAGTTATTTTGGCTGGCCACAGATTCCCCGCCAGGATATGTTCTTTGATTTTCTAATTCGCTTTCTAAACATAATTTATTTTCCATTATTGCCTTATTTTCAGTCAAAGCAACTGCTGGTCGTCCCTCAAGCCTCTGGATTGAGCTATCCAGACTATACGAAAAATATAAACAGCTTTCTGATAGTCGAGTAGTGCTAGAAAAGGCCACGGGCGTTGCTTTTCTACACGTGGATGATCTTGCCAACATTTATTGTGAATGGGCCGAGATGGAAATTCGCCATGAGTATGTTTTACAGTAAATTCTGTCTCAACATTTCCTTCGCAAGTGTATTCGATAATTTTCAAATTAATATGATACAAATCCAACTTCTAATTTCTAGCTT